GTGTAGTACATCATTAAAAAGGTAATTTTATGGGGAATTTGGAAATATGACTGTTCGTTGTGATACTTTTAATTGTACCGCCCTCTATCGGGATAAAAAACTACGAATTTTAAAGTGTGACATCTTATTTGAAAGCAAATTTAATTACTAATTCAATGTATAAATAATATAATAATAAATAATGTTTATTTCATAATAATTTACAAAATTGAAAAATAATATACATGAACAATTAGCTTTATAGATGGAATTTTTTTTTATGTAGTTACTGATAACCTAAGTATTTGAAATAAACAAAGCAACAGAACCCTAAGAACCCGGAGGTTGTGTAAAGGTTGTCATTTTGAATATAACAGTGAAGCATTCAGATTATTAATTTTGTTTTACTCACACTAATACAGCTAAATGAAAAGTATGTTTATATAAGATAATGTAATAGATTTTTTAATTTTTTTTTTTTTAAATATATATCAAATGTATAGACCATATAAATAAGGGATTTTTTTTTTAATTTTTTTATTTAATTAAAAAGTTCATATATCAGGGATCTTTCGTTCAATAGATAGTTTTTAAAATATTTTTTAATCATGCTCAGATTATTTAAGTTGTATATATACAATTTGTAAATATCAGGTAAGTTATTCATTATTTTACCTGATAAATAAGAAAAACTTCTCTGACCAATTGATTTTTTTGAGTATTCGACTAAAACACAATTTCTACTTTTTAATCTAGTATTATATTCGTGGGATATATTACTTAATATAGATTTATTTTTATAAATGAATATAATTGTACTGAACACAAACAATTGCCTAACATTAAATAATTTACTTTCAATAAATAATAGATCAGTAGGATATAATACAGGTTTATTGTAAATAATTTTAATAAATCTCTTCTGCAACACTTCGAGTGGTTTAAGATGAGCAGATGCGCAGCTCCCCCAACATATAATGCAGTAATTTATACGTGACTCCACTAAAGAATAATATAGGATTCTTAATTGGTTGACAGTGAGTATGTTTCTTAAATACCTAAATTTAAACAATAATATTCTTAAGGTTTTCATAACTTGTTCAATATGATAGTTCCACCGCAGGTGTGAATCTATCGTGATACCCAAATATTTTACAGAATTTGTAGAATTTATAATTAAATTACCGTCTGGTGTTTGTATGGTTAAAGAATTATACACGGGTAAATTATTTTCATAACTTGTGAAGGGAATAAAGAAGGTTTTGTCAAAATTAATTGTAAGTAAATGGTGATTAAACCAATATTGTATTTTTAGCATATCTCTTTCGACAAGATCCTTAAGCCCATCCCAAGTATCAGAAGACCATATAATGGCCGTATCATCTGCAAAACAATATATCTTTCCATTAATATCCTGTTGTAATAGATCATTAATGTAAAGCAAAAAGTATAGAGGACCTAATACCGTTCCTTGTGGCACACCTATAACTAAATTTTTTTCATTACTTATTTTATCCTTAATTTTTACGACCTGTCTACGATTTCCTAAATAACTGTTAATTAAATCAAGTGCTGTGCCTCTTACTCCTGTTCTCTCAAAAGCTTCCGACAACTGGTAATGATTTACCGTGTCGAAAGCCTTTGCAAGGTCCAGAAATACACATAATGTTGGGATTTTTTTATCTATGCATGAATACAGTTCTTTAACCACGGTAGCTGTTGCATTTTCTGTTGACACACCTTCGCGAAACCCAAATTGTCGGTTTGAAATGATATTGTTTTTTTCAAAGTACAAGTAGAGACGGGTATGGAGACTTTTTTCAAAGATTTTTGATAATGTACTTATGAGGGATATTGGTCTATAATTACTAACATTATCTCTTTCTCCCTTCTTAAAAACAGGGATTACTACTGCTTTTTTAAATTCATCGGGGAAGATTCCTGTTGTAAATATATTGTTTATAAGATGAACTAACAAAGGAGATATTTCTTTCGAGATGCTTTTTATAGTCTCACTTTTAATAGTATCTATACCTGGAGTCTTGCCACTTTTTAAGTTATGTATGATACTAAGAACTTCCTTGTTGTCTATTGGTGAAAGAAAGAATGAATGTAATTTATTTTCAGTTTCAGGTTTATTCGTAGGGGGTTCTTTGATAGATTCAGCTAATTTGATACCTATACCAGAAAAATAAGAATTAAAATAATTTGCAATTTCTAAGTGATCAGTAATTAATTCATTCTCAGCATTACATATTTTATCTATTAATTGATTATTTATATTTGAACCTGTCAAAGTTTGAACTGTTTTCCATAATTGTTTTGAATTGTTACTATTAGCATTTATCTCATTTTGGTAATACTTTTTCTTTACTTCAATTATTTTTCTGTTTAATTTATTTCTAAAACGTGTATATTTTAATTTTTTGTTAATGTTTGTTGGATCCTCTTTGTACATACTATAAAGTGACCGTTTTTCTCCTATTAGCTTTACAATACTATCGCATATCCAATTTTTACGCGGTTTTTCTTTTTTCTTAACTTTTAATTTCGTTGTATTTTTTTCAACGAGTTGAATTAATTTATTTACTAGTATCTCAGTAAGTGTATTAGGGTTAGAGGATTTATAGTAATCATTCCAATTAAGCAAAGCGAAATCTTGACATAATGTTTTATAATTTGTATAAGATTGGTAACAATAAGGATCATTTTTGACAGGTTTAATATCAATTGGTACGCCTGTTATTTCAGCTTTGTGATTATTTATTGCAGTGGCATAAGTTAGGGCTATAAATTTATCTTGATTAAAATGTTTAGATTTAACAAAAATGTGATCAATACAGCTTGATGATTCTGCTTGAGTATGGGTTACTGAGTTTATTAGCGATATAAAGTTACGTTCACTTAAAATATCTAAATATTTACTTGTACTTTCGCATACACTTCCATCTAAAATATTTAAGTTAATATCACCAACTAAATAGTGATACTCCACTAAACGATTATTTTGGGTTTGTTGCAGGTAATCTTCTAAAGCTGAAACAAATTCCTCTTTATCACTATTTGGAGATCTATATAGCGCTGTTATAATTATAGGATTATTTTTATCTATATTTAGAATTAATTGGATAACTTTACAGTTTGCTATGAATATAAAATTAGACTTATATTTAATTGTATTTTTTTACATAAACCACCACCCCATCGTTTTTATTATATTCTCCTTCATTGTATACTATATTATAGTTATTCATGTAGTGACAATTTATATCATGTATTTTAAATGTTTCTGTTAGTACAATTACATCAAATATATAATTTATATCTATTAGATTTATTTTTAATTCGTTTATATTTTTATTTAAACTTTGTATGTTTTGATGAAATATTGTAAAGTATGAATTGTGTTTCAATACATTTAACTGTTGTTTAACATCCCTAATATTGTTACAACTGATGGTATTTACTGTAGATAATTCACATCCCTTATATATTGATCCATAAGAAATATAAATACAATAACAAGCTAAGTAAAAAATGAAAGGACAAACTATAATTAGTAAATATATTTAAATGGTAATAAAGTAGTAAATTTATAATTTTTGAAGTTTATGTTTACGTAGTTTTTGGATGTATGCAGGTGGACTTAGTGTCTTTCTTTTTTTGTCTTTATTTAATTCTAATGTTTCTTTCTCTGTGTTTTGTTGTGAACTTTGTTCAATTTTATTTTCTTCTTCTTCTTCGAAGGTATCTTCCCCTTCAGTAACTGCTTTACTTTCGTCTTCCGACTCCTCAGAATCAGACACAATATCTTCCAGTTCCTCTGCTTTATACCATTTATTATCTATTTGTAGCTGATGTCCTCTAATTCGAGATGGAAGACTATTTTGCTTGGCCAATTTATAATGTTTGACGAGGATTTTATGTACCACATAACATTAATAACATAATAATAATATAAATATCCATATTGCACTTGCAATAGTTTGAAAATTATTCATGCATTATTTTAAACATTATTGCTTTTATATTTATATTAGTGTTATGTGGTGCATTAAATTAGTAATTAAGTTAGCTTTCAAATGAAGTGTTACACTTTATAATACGTTACAGATTTTTTATCCTGATAGAGGGCGCTAAAATTAAAATTATCGCAATAAACTGTTATATTTCTGACGTCCCCATAAAATTACCTTTTTAATGATGTGCCGTACATGGTACATTCCTTATTTAAAATTAAGGGGTTGGAGAAGTGGAAGGGAGGGGGTTGACACGTGACAGAAGTCTGTATTGTAAAAATGTGTATAATTTGGAATTAAAATCGATATGTTTTAGCATTTTCTAAAAATCCAATGATTAATGCCGAAAAACAGGATGAAACTGTTTTGAGTGACCCACTCTGTATATCAAAAATGGCTAGATTTATCGAATTAGTTCATAGAACAAAATTTGCTTAAAAATGCATTTTTTACAAGATGCGCTACATAAGAAAGGTCCTCCCATCAAAAAAAAATTATTGAGCGCAGCGCCATCTACATATTGACCTATTTAAAATCAATTTATATCTAAAACTGAAGCTCTCTTAGCGTTCTATGAACTGGCTTTTACAGAATTAAAATATCTCTATTACTTACCAAAATATCCGGCCTGGGAGTTTTTATTGGTACACCCTGTATACAGGAGTTTTGGATCCCGCGGAGCGCGTGTAATGGGACTTTTGTCGGGAGAATTCTACAACTTAGAAGAAATATACACACTTTAATCTAATTACAATTTAATGTAAGCTCAAACCCGTAATTTAATTCGATTATATAGATTGAATACTTTGAGATAAGAAAACTAATTTTAAAGAAAAGTATGTTGGAAGTTCCCCAGATATGTTTCTCTATGAGCCGCATATTAGTGTAGTTAATGTTTAATTTAACTATTTCACTTCTAATGTTTACTGAGCCAAGTTACCATAAAATTATTTTTATTTAGGTCACTTTCAAACAAAATTAAACCTTTATTATTATTTTTAGGAACAGATAGCTCAGTAACATGTATAGATTCAACGTTTTCAAGCATATGTCATGAACACCATAAAAAATACTACAATGGTTTCGAATTAAATGATGATGGCTTGCTGGTAAGGAGCACCGAATCTTATCATGGACCAAAGCTGGGTTTATGTGCAATTGGTTGTGTAGACGGATCAGTACGATTATTCGATCGTAGATGTAGTCAAAATGATGCCAGAGTCAAGGTTTGGTTGGAACATCCCGGTAGTGTATTAACTGTACAACTACGAGAGAACATAGTTATTAGTGGAAGGTAAGTTTATTGTATTGATTAGAGTCAAATGTAATAGAGGGTTTCAATATATTAATTTCAATAATTAAATTTGCAATTATTAGTTTATTTAAAAACAAAACTTAAAGATTTATATTTTTCAAGGGTCGATAATAATTAATAATAAAATAATAATGTTATTTTTAGTTCTTCTGGTGATGTAAGAATATATGATATTAGGAAAAATGATTCTATTCACACAACTCAAGCTGTTCCTAATTATGGAATGTCATGTATGTCTATTCATAGAACTGCTAATACATATGCATGGTAAGTTTTTAAAAATAATATATTCTAAAAATTCTATCAACTATTTCAATCAATCTTAACTAAAAATTATAGTCATATTTGCAATTAGCCATTCCAACGACCTGTCCAAATGGCTACCAGTGGGGACTGACAGTTTAGATATGGCAACCCCGTTGCCATGTTGTCATTAACAGGGTCAATGATACATATATAAATATATAGATTGCTCAAAGCTGGTCGTTTGCGAGCGGCCATATTGCCTGGCTAATTTGAATCGGTTTATCAAAAATGTGTTTTAAAACCAATTTTCAGCCTTTGAATATTTAAAAAAAAATAATTGCCCTACATTTTTACTTCAAGGCATAAGCTTATGTTTATGTGACGAAAGTCTCATTTATTTAAAGTTTATTTATTTAAAAACACAGTATTTACAATTTATTTCAGACGTATAGATAACTCTACCATTTACATAACAATTGCAAATAACATTTTGTAAAGTACCTACATACCGAAAAAAATACTCAATAACACATTTTCAAAACAATATATTTTTAAATGATGATTTTATGAACTCTGTAAATAAAAATATAATAATAATAATAATAATAATTTGTTTATTTGTAAAAATGTACACACATAATCAAGAAAAAATACATATAAAATACAAACAAACAGTAAATGTCCACAAAGTCAGAGACTGTCCGTGGTTAAGATACTATAAAGTATAATTTTATAATGGGGCATGTTCAAAAATTTTGAAATTTTTTTTATGAATAGTAGAGTTAAAAATAAAACTACATTTTTTTTATCTATTCATTTGCCGGAGTTATGAATTTTTTTAAAATTTATGACGTCACCGGGAATAGACCAATAGGAGCTAGCGCACAACGTTGCCGGCTAGAAGGTTTACGAGAAGTGATGTACGTTCGTTTGTGTACTCCTTCTTACTTTTAGACTTCTAAAACATCGTTAAACAAATATCTTTTAAATATATAATATCAAATGATTTTTGAAAGTATTATTTCTGTTTAAACTTTTACCATATTTAAAGTTTCATTGTTTTAAAAGTCACTTAATAATTCAGAAAATGGCAAAATGGCAGCACTGTGTATGGCATCTGTCATCATAGTGTCTCGATCAAGAATTTATTTGGAATTTGAGTGTTTAATTTTGTACTTTTTATAAATATGACTACGAAAAAGTGTTTTGTTCCAGAATGTGATAATGATTCACATTCATCTTCAAAAATATTTATTAGTGTTCCTAGAAATTTGGAAAGAAGAAAATCAACCTTCTACTAGCGATGTTTCTCGTAAACTTTTTAATAAAAATACACCGGATTATCAAGATGTAGCAGCAATTTCTGTTAATTGTCCCCTTCAGGAAATTGAAAATGAGGCTACTATAAATTCTTAGGTGTATATCCTAAAAACCCTTCTGGAAGAAAATGCAGAATCTCCTAAAAGTTTTGAAGATACTGAATTTATTCATCATTTTGTGGAAGAATAGTGATAAAGAAATAATAGAAAAATGTGGGTATTTAAACAAACTGGTTCCTGGATCCCATATAATGGCAGATAGGGGTTTCAGAATATTTAGCTACTTTAGTAAAGCCACACCTAGTGTATCACAGAATGAAAAAGTTCTCCAGAAGATGTACAATTAAGTAAAAGAATAGCATCTCTAAGAATACATGTGGAAAGAGTTATAAGGGTTAGTTAATTTAACAAGTTAAAACCACATTCGTGTGTGAATTTTAAGCAAGTACATTTACTTAGTAATATCTGCATAATTGCTTGTTAACTTACAAGAACCTATTTTGTAAGAGTAAATATTAATTTAATAAATTTGTTTTGTTTGTTTTTTTAATTTAATTTACCTAATTATCACATTTCAGGGATTATAATGAGTTTTTAAACAGCCAATGTAATTTTTTATAAAATTTTAACTTTTCGAACAAATCAAAGAGGAATGAGTACCTGTATATGCATAGATTTTTTTGGGACTAAAACTACCAAAACAAAGGCACCTATTTACAGCAGTTTAAAATGAAACATTTTGACAAAAACGCCTATGTCACAGTGATAAATATTAAAAACAACCAAGTTCAGTTGAATGTGGTAGCAAAGTCTATATATTCCAATAAATCGGGAACTACATGTGGTATCACTGGTGATAAATTTAAAAATATCACAATTCTTGCTACCTTTTTCAAAAAACCAGAAAGTGTGCCTTCTTATCAATCCTTTATGAAAATGACAACAGTGATAAATGTGAAAAAAAAAATTAATGTTGCTATTCGTTATTACGATAGTAAAACATGTTTGCAGTTCCGTTTATTTTTTATGAAAATCTAAGTAAAAACAACCAATGTCAAAGGGTTATAATTTTTTTTCTGTTGAACCAAATATATCACAAAATTTAAAAATTGATCATAGGTCAAGCTAAAGTAATACCTTTATTGATAGTAGCTTTAAAAAAGGAGAAAGAATAATATTGACTTAAATTATTATAATTAACATTGGTGATTTTTAATAAAAACTCTTCAATTATTGTTTACAAACAAAAATATAAAAATCTGTGAAAATTTTATTTATTAATCTTTTAATAAAAAATGAGAAAAATGAAGTAAAAAACAATTTATTTACAAATAAAAAATATATATACAAATCCTAAGAACATAAAAGTACTGATTTATTTTCCTGTAGTGGATGAAGAGGTTTCTTTAACAATCTAGCCAAGTGTACATCAATATTTACGCATTTTGATAAATTAGAGCCTTTCCAATAACACTGAATAGATGTTACAGATGGTTCCTCACTTCTTCTATGAAGCCACATATTTACAACCAACTGAAAAAAATAAAAGGGTTAGATATGCAGTTACAAAATAACTATATAACCAGCTACAAAATGCCTTTATTTTATGTAACAAGACGAGCAGAGCTTTACTAGCTCTGAACGAATCCAGTAAAGAACCTCGGATTTTCAAAACTTAAAAAAAAAACAATCTCACCACATTTTTGAAATATAAGAGCTTTTCGAAAAAAATTGCTATTTTTAAAAATACAATTTTTTGTTTAAACAGCTATGTCTCATTTTAGGCTATTGAGTATTATAAAATAAAAAATTACGGGATGCTCTGTTAGCTTCAAACGAATCCAGCAGAGCACCCCAGTTTTTTTTTAAATCACACCACGTTTTTTGGCTCCTACAATATTATATTATATTCGAAATTTGGCATTTTAAAAAAAATTCGCAATTCCTTGCTGACTTCAAAGTTTTTTTCTGAAAACAAATGTACTTACATTTTTAGTATTTTAAAACAGCCTAAACATGTGTCATAAGTAGTTGTTTTTATATATATAAAAAAAAAATTAAAAAACAAGTGTCCTGCTGACTTTGTTCCAACAAAATAGCAATTTTTTTAGTAAAGTTTTACAATATTTCAAGAGTCTAAAAATGGGGTGTGGTTTTTAGAAAAAAGCTTTAAAAAACCGAATTGCTCTGCTGGCTTCTTTCGAAGGTTAGCAAGCACCATGTATTTTTTAAAAATATAATATTTCAAGTGCATAAATATATGGTGTTGCTGTTTTTACAGAAAAAACTTTATAAAACAGAGGTGCTTTGCTGACTTCGTTCGAAGCTATCAGAGCATTTTAAGTTTTGCATAAAACGAGGAGCATAAAATTTTTGATAAGGGTATAAAAATAGCCTAAAAATATGGCATGTTTTAACTCAAAATTTCATAGGTGCTCTGCAGCATTCTTTGGTATCATAATTATTACTAGGTTCACTAACAAAATCTATTTCTAGATTATTTTAACACTTGCTGCGATTACAAAAAATGTCTCTTTATGTCAAAATTAGAAAAAAAATATTTATAAGAATAAAGGGCCTTATACACTGTTTATTATATGTGATATAAAAACAAAAAAGCATAATAAATATTACAAACCTTGAGATTCAACATATCCTAAGCATTGTGCACTAAAAAACAGCCACATCATAAGGTTTTTGCTGTACTTTATGTTTAGGTGTAATTTGTCTCCTTCTCTCTTATGGAAAAAGTAAATATATCCATATTCTTGCTTGGCAGATCTAAAAATAAAACCTGAGATAAATATGTTTTACTATAAAGTGTACTGCTTCATATAAACTGTAACTACCTACCATTAAAACAATTTATAAATAAAGTTTTACCTTTCTATCTTTTGGAAACTGAGTATTGTTAAAAAATGCAGTAATCATCTCGGTAATCATATTTTCGTTTACAATGGGAAAAATACTTGATTCAACTTTTATAAATACAGCTGATAAATTCATATTATTCTTCCTTTATATATCCTATATCCCACAGGATAATTTACCCAGATAAATTCAGATTAATAATAAAATTAAACCAAAACAAAAAACTAAGGTTAGTTGTTAGGTGCTGTCAATTTTTAATGTCACTTAGATGTGCGTTCACTTCGACATTCTGTATGTAGGTTTGTTCGTTGGCTTGGTTTTTGTAAAACAAAAAAAACTTCGACACATGCTGATTGGTCTATTCCCGATGACGTATAATTTCAAATTTTAAATTTCAATTGGGCTTAATTTAAAAACTTTTAGCTTTTTTAACGAACTGATTATTTAGAATAACTTGTATAGCGACTAACTATTACAATATAGTTTATAAAACAGCATATCTCACATGTGAACATGGCCCATTAAATTATCGAGAATAATGTTAATAAAAAATACAATAATAATAACAATCATAATGACAGCAACAATATTTAATAATAATATTGATGATAATAACAATAATAAAATAATAATAATAATAACCTTAAAAATTATATTTAATAATAATAATATTGATGATAATAATGAATAATAAAAATTATTTTTATTGTTATTACAAAAAAATAAAAAAATATACTTTAGAAAAAAATTAATTTTTTATTTGTAGGTACCTACTTTATAGTTGATTTTTAGTTACTGGTTAATACGTTAATTCGATTATTTTTATTCTAT